GGTTGAGAAGATCCTCTGAGAAGGTATTCTAGATTCTTCAGTGAGGCAGTCCTCATCTTTAGTATTTTGATTATCATGTTGATTGATATAGTTTGTTACCTTTCATTGAGTGTAAGCTCAAAAAGTGCAAACTTCAGAGATGAAAAATAAATGTGCTGAAATAGAATTCCATGCTCAGATCAGTCATAAAAATACCACACTTAATTTCTATAAAGCTTGAGCAATAATGTATCAGGCCTTTCTGTCGTGCTGCAAAGATACCAAACTTGGGTTTTTAGGCCAAAAATTCACAGTAAGTCTGTGTGTGTGCGCCTACGTGTGTGTGCTTTTATTGTTTGTTCTTTTTTTGTTGTTTATTTTTGCTATCCACTTGTAATCAGCCCATATAGTACTATATAAAAACGCTTAAAATGAGTAATTGCCAGGCCAATACTGTGAAAGCTTACTGCGTACGTGAACAAATTGGGGAGAGCCTTTGAAAGGCGAGAGGGCGGCTGTTTCCTGTTGCGTAGTTTTATTTCTCACTCTGTGCACGGTGCACTCTTCAGTGTTGGGGGTTTGTGTAATAGCTACTTCTTTCCATGGTTCCACGCGGAGGGAGAAAGAATAGTAAGAATGAAATCAGCCATTTCTGTGTCTGGAAAGAAGCAGCACAGTCTGCTTACAGCACATGGAAATAACGAAATACGTGTGGTAATATACAGGAAGAAGATAGAGGCTGTAAATCATCCCTTGTAGTTGGCAAGCCCATATAAATTGCAGGGAGACTTCCTTAAAGAGGTGACTTAGGAGGTCTGTGGCCCCCTCCTGCTGAGTTTCAGTGAGTCTTGGGTATCAGGAAAATTCCAGAAGACTAGAAGAATATTGCACGCTGACTGTAACACTCTTCAGCTAGGTAAGGTGGATGCTGAGAAAACTCGGCTTCATATCCGGCATGGACTGGAAAACTCACCTTAGATTTGTTTGGTAGAGAATGAAGGGAGAGGAGAGGAACTGACAGTTGCTGTGGTTTTGTGAAGGATAAGGGTTTGGAAAACACCGTTCCGTGAGATTAAACAATTGGCTGGGTTTACCGATCAAAATTATATGCACCTACTCAGACATTTGACTTCTTAATATGTCACCTTTTGGTTTAAAAGCACTGTTCAGTATAGTGGTACATGTTAAGGGAATTCAGAATTGGTTAACAGATTTTTTTAATTAAACCTTAGTAAGAAATTATTTGCATTTGAGTATTTTAATACATTGTTGCAGCAATTGAAAGGTAGACCCAGTATCATTCAGTTTTTTTAATCAATGTTTTGGAAATAACTGTTTCAGAAGTCATTGGAGATGAAAGCTACAGATGACACAAAAGTAAGAGTAATGATAAATTACTACGGAGACAAGACACTCGCAAGGAAGTCTGAAAAACATGATAAATTGGGATGTGTTCGAACAAGATTTATTTTACATGGGTAGCTATATAGGTCTAAGGAATATTGCTGTGGCCTTGATGGAAGGTATCTTCTCAAAAGCTATCATAGGGGTGTGCAGGTAGATAAGCTGCTTACAAGTTTCTGGTTTGATGTTGTGTAAAAAAGGTTGATATAGTTGATGGCTGTGAAAATGGGGAAGTAGTGAAACCATACTTCATGTCTGTGCACAACTTTGTTAGTACTGATAGTTCTAACTGCACGTGCTTCTGATGTCCCCATTTGAAGAAATATTTTGGAAAAATGGAGAATATGTAGAAAGGTGAGATGTAAAGAACCAAACTAAACAGATTTTCAAGAAGAAGAATTAAAGATGACGTGATAAATGGCTTTAAATCTCCACAAGGAGCTGCTAAAGCGCTCTTTAGTTTGCTGAAGAAAAGCGTAGTGCTGGCAAGCTGAAGGGCAGACATTCACCTTGGAAATGAGGCAAAACATTTTAACCGCATGATTAACCAGTGGAACAAACTACTAGAGAAAGTAGTGATTTTTCCATCTCTTGAAGTCTTTCAAATCAGGAATAGATCCCTTTCTGGAAGTTTGGCTTTAGCCAAATACAAGTTCTTCAAGGAACTGAGGAACTGTGAACTTGCACAACCCTGTCTGCCTTTGGCACGTGGTTCATGCTTGCTGCAGGTACTGCTAACATTGAAAGATCTCTAAGGCCAAGCTCAGGAGGAACATATATGTCCACACTGGTACGTGCATAGGGGCGAGAAGGCCTGAAGAACTCCAGTTATTGGTACGCAGTTTTTCTTTCCTGGGCTCAGTGCAGGATAACTAAGGACAGTTTAATAGCCTGGGATATAGGAAGTCAGAATAGATGGTCCTAAACTTTACTGTGGATCTATTAACTTCGTTTCTAGCTTCCCTGTACTAATCCATGCCAAAGACTAAGTGGAAGTTAGTTCTGCTGCTGGCTGCATTAGATTCCATCTACGTAGCTATGGTCATAGAGGACATGTGCTATACACCCATCAGCTGGCCTACTTGGTTATTTTTCCCCTTTTTTTAAATTACAAGTGCCTGCTGGCATAGGCCTTCATCCTAAGCACCAGACAACGCTAATGTTGCCTTCTCCATCTCGATTGGCTGTTTCTGTTTGTTTGTTTGTTTTAAGCCTTTAAACCATACGGTCTTTTTGTCTTGCTGGCGAGTTTTCCTTTGCTGGTAAGAATTTACCAGTAGTTCTGCAGGACTACAAGTAGAAAAGTAACCATGTGCTAGTGATTTGCATGTGATACTATAACATAGAGGATAAATAAATAGAAAAGTGTGGAAAAACCATTTTCAAGCAAGTTGATAAAAGGATTCTTAGAAATTATAATAAAGGAGTTTACTGGTATCTCTTACCTATAGCAGTATTTAATTGAATAATAGTGAATCTCTCTTTTCTTTGCTGGGTTGTAATGCATCCTTAACATGGTTGTTACCCATGTAAAATAAATCTGTTTCCATTGAGACAGCTTGAGCTGCCTGCAGGAAAGCTTCTTTAGAACAAAAATGAAAATCTAAAGGCATCATCAATGTTTATTTACACTTATTAAAATATTTCTCCTTTCAACATAAAAAGACTATTTTTAGATTTTGCCTTTTTAGAAAGATGCCTCATAGAATAATGAACTGTAGAGGAAAAATAAATAAACCTGGTTTGCACTTGGTTTTAATTTACTTTTTTTTTTTGGTAGAAATCACACATTGACATTAATCTCTTCGTAGTCAAACAATCAAACATGAAGACAGACTGCTGGACAGCTCAGAGTAGTGGGATATATAAAGTAACCTTTTTTCAACATCTCGTAGTCCCTTCTGTTCTTTTGCTTAAAATAGAAGTTGATGCATCATTTCCGGTGCATACCATATGTTCTCTCTTTAGACAAGAGTATTGTGTCATGAAATGATTTGTCGCTATCCTTCACGTCTTTATTAGAAAAATTTAGAAATCTGTTTTTTGTGCTTCATCTTCTGTAAATCAAAGATAATCCGATTCCACTCACTTAGCGTTACTATGAGGAAGTTTTACAAGCCAAGAAGCTTTTGTAGCCCGCTAGCACAATCCCTACACTCTCACCTTCTGCCTTTTGCCTTGTGGAGGGTGCAGGTGAGGTGACTTCAAAGAGGGTTCACGATGGATCATTGCTATAAATGTTACTCTTGAGAGAGAACGTTTTCAGGGCTCATCTGAGCAGTTCGGCAGTCTTACATAGAGAGTGTGCTTTGTGTATGAAACACGGTTAGGTTTCTTAAAGGGTCTAGACCTTAGAACGGATGTTCAATTGATAAAACAGATGCTATCAAAAAAAATGTTCCTGATATGGTTTCAGAAATTATTCCATGACTTCGCAGAATGTTTGCCCTTCTGTGTGTGCGGCTCATTGTTTCTTGGGAAAATGTGTTATTGTACATTGAAAAAGAGAAAGCATTTATACGTATTGGAAAGCATTAACATCGGAAGTGCCCAAAATAAACATCCGGAAGGCCTGATGTTTCTCAGAGGTACTTCCGTTAATATTTGTTTCGTTGTTGGCTCTTACCACATCTAAAAAATGCAAAGTTTAAGGTTTAAACATCCATTTAGAGCTTGAGCTTCAGACTTCCACTTGGAAAATGGTGGTCAGAATTTTATGTTCTCTTACCAGTTATATTTGCTCCTAAGAGTTAAGATTTCAGTTTAAGAAGATGCTGTTATTATTCCTGTTCATTATTTTGATGACTGAAAAAATTAGTTAAGGAGCAGGTAAAGTTAATAAGTGAATTACAATAACATCTTTCATGTATTTTGTATCTTTCATTCTCTTTGATAAAAATTGATTTTGGAATAGGGTCTGTATTTTATGCTAAAGCTAATAGTTTTCCTTCTCTGAGAACATCCTTTCAACAATTTTCATTGTTGCTGGAAATGGTATTTAGCAAAATTCACTCTGGCAATAAAAAATTTCTTTTTGAAAACTATTAAGAGCATGCAGCCTTGAAGAATTGGTTCCATGTCCAGAATGTAGAACAAAATAAGAAGAGATACCGACTGTTTTAGACTGAGTAGTCACATTTACAAATTTGGGTCATTGTTGTTACTTAAATTCTTGAAGTTGGGTTTATATATGTGTTATTTCTCATTTCTTACTCTTCACCATCTTCTAAAATCTTTGCCTATATTTATGTAAGATATTCTTTAACTGTAGCACAATTAAATGTATATAAACCAGTTTCTCTGAATTAAAAAAAGAAAAAAATCTGTTATTCATACATGTTTGGGTAATGAGGAGGGAGAAACGCATTCAGTTTTCTTTAGCAGCACCTACTGGTTCTGCTATGAAGGTCTTGACTGCCTTAGAAGATGGCTATGAAATTACTCCTTATGTCTCGATAAGCAAAATAATTTGGTAAAACACTCATATTGCATTTAACTTCTTTTTCATATAACTCATGTCTTTCCATAGAGCTATAGAACTATAAATCTATGTATTAGTCTGAATTAATAATAAACATCTGTTGTTATTAATTATTGTTCTTTTGCTTTATTCCTAGAATATTTTCTTTTTTGGATATAGTTACTTTGTGTCGATGTGCACAAGTTTCCAAGGTATGTGTTTCTGTGTGTGTGTGGTGTGGTTTTTGGGGTTTTTTTTTTTTTTGGCATTCTTTGGACGTTCTCTGAACTACTTGCAAATCATGGACTTTCGGACCACCTCCTTGATGTCCAAAAATCAAATAGCACTCTCAGCCCCTTCGTTCATTAAAGCAGATAAACAGTGGATTCAGTCTTGCATTCAGATATGTGGAATTATGTACTGGATTTCTGTTTAAGGCCAGTGGAAAAGATAGCCAATAGTGTACGCTCTGTATCTGGAGAAAGGATTAAGCCCGTTTTGGCGTAGTGGCATTTACTTTTTATAAAGCGTGTGGCTGTATAACACTATTTTTCAGACGCGTTTTCTGCATAAAATTCCATGTAGCTCAGTTAATGTGCACCATGTGTCTAAGAAGTACATCCATCATTTGCTTGCCAAGTACAAAAGGTGTTAAGTAGAGGGACTACTGGTAGAGAAAAAGGCACACAGAGGATAAGAGAGAACTCATGTCTACATAAATGTTTATGTTTAGCTAGTCTCGTTTTTTTTCTTGAATTAAATTGAAAAATATTTTGTTCCTACATGAACTGTGTACAGTGAAGTGTATAATTCTTGTACACCGTGAATGAATTTTGAAATTTCCATTCTTTTAATGAGAATTTATTTATTTATTTATTTATTTATTTTTCTTTAACTGTATAAAAAGGAGTGCAATTATTTCACTCCTCCATCCATATCTCCTTGGCCTGTAATTTCACTAAGTTTTATGAGCTAACTAACTTCAGATTTTCTTAGTATCTTCAACTGAAAACTAGAATACAGCAGAAAAAAAACCCAAGGTGATTGAGTAAGTAATATTGTTCTCTGAGAACTATCTGGCAGTCAGATGTGGTACTCCTTTTCAATTTTTGCCCTAAACGTTCATGTAATAAGTACATTTGTTGAATCTCCAGCTTTGTTGTTTTGCTCTGATTTGAAAAGCTATCATTTATTGTTTCAACAGAGAGGGACAAGTTCCTGATGTGCATCTAGCAGTGGAAAGTCAGCCCCTTTCTGAAAGGTTTCTGCTCCTCTCGGAATAGGAGCTTGTCAAGTTGAACTGTAGAGATTAAGCATGTATACACATACATCTTAGCTCTCCTAGCTCTTTGTGTGTGATTTAGTGGTAGCATGTTAAGTTGCTATTTTCGTACAGATGGAGCAAAAGTAAATTACTCGACAAATTTGCTAAAACTTTTTTAAAATTGAGGATTACATTGTGTTTTGCATTTAAATTCTTGCTGATGCATGCTCTGTGGGCAAAAGTTAGCCTTTGAGGCATAATCTGTTGAGGAGATTTGAGATTCATTTCCACAAATTCCATGTTTTCAACTATTTTATGACCACAGGTATCTATAATCGCCTTTGTTTTTAAAAAGCACTACAAGGAAGTGTATATTATATTTGAGAATTCGTTATATTTGAATTGTTGAGAGGAAAATTTAGGGAGCAGGCGGCGGAGGTGTGTTAAGTGTTTTTGTTTTCTCTAGGCATGGAATGTTTTAGCTCTGGATGGAAGCAATTGGCAAAGAATAGACCTTTTTAACTTTCAAACGGACATAGAGGTTAGTGTCTTTTTTTTTTTGTTTCTTCTTCCTCTTTCTTATGGTGATGTTTAAGAGCTTGGACCATTTGAGTATCCCATTGACTGTGCAAATAGTTCACAAATTCTAAGGGCTAAATTTCAAGATAGTAGTAATACTGTGCGGAAGCGAATAGAAAAAGCAGAACACTGTATTTGACTTGTTTTTTACACTGGAGGAATATTTGAGTTTTGGTTGTTGGCTATCTGTTAGATAATTTAAGTATATCCTACGCATGCAAGGCTCTAGATATTCATAACTGCTCATTTCCAGAAAATGAAGGCATGGAAGGTGCCTCTGGGGTGAGTGAGACCCTCAGGCTAGAGGATAATTTTATTACTTGTCTCTGGTCTCTCTGTGAGAGTGCCATCTAGTGCTGAAAGCTCTCTGGAATCTGGGGTAATAGGAGTTGGAAACTGAAACAATAAAATGCTGAACAACTTTTCTTTCTTATGACTTGGGCCGGATATGAATTGCTGTGTATCTTATTACCGTTTATGAACGTTTGTTTTCTAAGGTTTGAACCTTGGCTGAAATGCAGGTATATCTGGGTGAAAGTCCTTTTCAGCATATAAGGAAAAGATTAGAGCACTCCATAAGAAAAACATGTCTGTATTAATGCTATCATAAATGTATATAACCAAATAAAATATGACATCTTAATGAGAAAAATCCATGGGGAAATACAATTGCTTAAGTGAATCTGAACTAATTTATTATTTACGTTTGGTGATACAAGCTAAAATACAGAATACAATAATGAATTTGCTTCTGGATTTTGTGTTTAGGTTCTTAATTTAGCTGCATGAGTAAACTCTAGATGGGGTTCATCTGGTATGTTTTGCCAACTGTGGTTCAGACTGTTTCTAAAAAAACTTGACAATGGAATATACAGTAAATTTTCCCACTGCTCTCTTGAAACTTTATTGCCTGCTTCTTTGTTACACCAGTGTTAACTGTAAGGATCTTATGGCATCTTAAGGCAGAGGAAAGATTTCAGCATCTGCAGATTATCTAAATGTGTCTAAGAGGGCTTGGAGCTTTAACGTCGTATTTTCACTTGCCTATGAAAAAGACTGTTTCTTGTTTGCTACAAAAGAATAAACAAAAACATAGATCTGTGCCCCTTCTGTTGGTCAGCCTTTTCTGTATCTGAAACCCTTCTGCTATTTAGAAGCGTAGTATTGGGGTTTTTTTTTACACTTTGGATATGTTTGTCTTAAATACCTAGTGGTGTTGCCCTTTGAGATGCTATGTCTGTAGCATGATATTTGAGAAAATGATTTGAAATGAGTTTGTGGTCCGTTTTTGATATAAGGCGTTACTATGGTTTTAAGCATTACTTCAGTACACTACATTTAAGTCTGTTAGTAATATAAACCCTTTAAATTTATTCGTAAGAGTATGTTAAACCAACAATTATTACATAAAATAGTTTTAAGCAAGAGACATTCAGTCTCTAAGAGCTCTGCTTTTGTTTATGCTATTTTTTGCAACAGATAATTCTTGCCTTTAACTTTAGGACAGGTAAAATGTAATAATTGTATTTGGCAACTTTTTGCTCAATTGAATGTTCATATGCTATTTGGTGGTGTTTCACATAGCACCGAACTACTCATCTGAAACTATCAGTGAACTTAAGATTAGGTTTTTTTGTGAAAATACTCTATTTAACACCTCATATGATAGAGAGTAAAGTAGAAAAAAATGCGTACTAGAACAGGAAAAAAATATATCTTTTCTACCCCAAAGTTATGTCAAAATCTTGAAGTTGGGTTTGCCAGAGAATTTGTTGGTATGTGGCACCAAATGTAAGATGGGATAGTTTGAAGAACTAGGGCTTGTTTTTGAGTTTCATTGACTTAGTTCAACACTAAGCACATCTGAGTGCGCTTAAACTGTCTTTTTGAATATTCTGGCTTTCTTTTTTAACGTGCTTAAAGTAGTAAAGGGGTTTGGAAAAACAGAACATATTGTGTTATTTGTTTCTGTTTTCTTTGAATAATAATGGGTTAGGTATTGGCTTTCTTTCCCCAATTCAATTGAATATGCATTATATGTAGTTCATTGTAAAGGCTTTATTCTTACAGTAAAGATATTTGACTTCTGCTGAGAAGTAGTTCAGCTAACCAGACTGCTTTTAAGAAATGCATGATTCCACAAGGTATATCACGATCTTCAGTTTGATTGTTTATTTTGGTGTAAATTCCTCTGAGAGATCAGATCATCTGTTAGTTATGGAGCAAGAAAAAGCTCTGATAAGAAAATATTTTCACATAGTGTTAGCCGAGACTTTGATATTAAATATTGAATAAAAATATAAAGAGACGTTGTCCACTACCATCCCATATAGAGAGGAAAACAAACAAAAAATTACACACATGGAGGTGTGGTTTTATAAGTAGTTTTTCTTTTTAAAAAAAAAATTAAAAAAGGAGAGAAGAAAATAAATAGTGCTTTTATGTATCTGTTATTCCTCTTTGTTAATTATCAGTGTTGAATGCTTTTTTCCCTAAAATTAGACACAATATGGGGTCTAGTCAGTTGCTGCAGTGATCGCCCACTTTTTGCTATCTTAAATATTTTCTTCTACAAAAATGTTAAAGATGGATGTGTATTTTTATAATAATTCAGTAACATTGTATCATAATGCTACTTTCAAACTGAATATTAGAAGTATTATGCCATTCTGGCTTATTGCTAATGTATAGCAAAATGCTTTCAGGGTGTAAATAAATGGCATGTTGTAGGACGTGAGTCAAGTAGGGAATCTGTAAACTGTGCTTCAGCCTTTGACACATAGCTAAGCTGCACAGTGTGAGAAGTGATTTGCTGTTTCCCAGTGTCCCCAGATATATACAACTTGGAAATCTGGCAAGTAGGCTCTGGCAAATCTTCTGGAGGCAGCTGAAGTGGCTGTTCCCAAGAGGTGTGCAGCACCTTTCTTGTGCAGGAGGTAACCATCTCTATAGCAGGGACTGTAAAATGAGACTTGGCAGAGGTTGTAGTTCAGATTGATACACTAGCCTAAACATGTCTTCGTGGACAATTAAAACTTATATACTATAGTAATAACTGTGATCCCTGAGGTACAGGTATGCTTCTCATTTTGCCTTTGGGGCAGGAAGAACAACTTGGACAGCTTTTCTGTCTCCCTGCAAATTTGACAGAACTTGAAGACTGTTTTAGCAGTCTTAATGGGTGGGTTTTGCTGAAACAAAAAATTGATCAACGTATGATAGACAAAACAAAGAAGGGAGAGCTAAAAATTTAATTGATCGTCACTCTAATCTGTGTGAGTGGGAGCAGATTCCCATCCGGTAACTGTTTTTTCCTAAAGTAGAAATTCAAAGAGGTGTAATTTTGCAGAGGGGGATAGCTGCCATTGATTTTTCAGTACTGGCATTTTTAATTTGGTTATAATGTTATATCGGAATAAAACTCAACAAAACCTTCCTTTTATTTGATTTAAGGGTCGTGTTGTGGAAAACATATCGAAAAGGTGTGGTGGGTTCCTGAGACAACTTAGTCTGAGAGGTTGTCTTGGTGTTGGAGACTCCTCTTTGAAGTAAGTAAAGTCCTAGATTGAGACGTGACTTTATTTCCTACTATCTGGATCAAAAGCAATGACTGTTATGTTTGTTTGGATAGCTCAGTACTGTCTGATGACCAAAATGGGATCCTTAAGTAAGTACTAAGTACCTTAGTAATGACTAAATGAGGCTTCAGTTTGAGATCAAAATACAGTTACTGTTTTTTCTGGAAATGAATTAAGAAATGAGAATGGTGCTTTTCAGGAGAAATGTCTTTTTATTTTCATTAGTTTTATTTTAATATCTATTCCATTTTCAAGCATCTAAAATATCTTCAGATCCATAAACTAGCATCCTACAGATACAGTTTCATCAAGATAGTAGTCAATCAGTTTATAGTAGATTTTTTTTTTTTAGTTTGGACAAGAGGTGACCCTACCGATGGAAGGGGGAGTAAAGACTGATACAGCTGAATGCCTACAAAATTAGGAGAGGCGTGAGATACTCTTCTTGTAATGTAAGAACAAGCAGGCAACAGCAGCATCTCAGGAGTCTCTAAGCAGAGAAAAGGACCCTTCTTGCAATATGTACATTGAACAGTGCAACTTGTTGCCACAGGATACTTTGAATTCATGTAAGCTTTTTGGCCTATACAGACTGATCAGCCAGTTTCCTCTGTGGATGTTTCTTTGAGTATTTAAACTCAAAGATCCTACTTCCAGCTGAAGGGTCCCTAGGCCGCAGGTACTTGAGGGCTCAGAGAATATTTGGAGGAAGCCTCAGGATATGGCTGTTTACTGTTGTCGTGCTTTCCTTCACTGTCACAGGAGACGATGAGGCTAATGAACGCTCAATGGCTTTCAGTCTGACCTAGCGTGGCCGTTCTTATGTGGGAAATACAAGCACAGAGATTTCTGTTAAGCAGTAGGCATTAAGTCAGTATCTTGTAACCTCTAGCTCTTTCTAAGATTTACAAGCAAGTCTAATTCATTTAACTAGTCTCCAGAGTAAATTCATGAGCATTTCTTATGAGTAATCTCTCACTTCTGTGTGTAAAAGTCAGAGTATCTCTTTCTTTGGAGGCTTTAAGGGTTTTAAATAAAAAATTGCTATGCAGAATATCACAGTGAGTAGCGCTGAAATGCTTGAGAAAGGAACTGTTGAGATTTAACACAGAGCTCTGATTAACTTTTGGCCAGAGTTTTGTTTTGGGGGGGGAGGGGGTGGAGACAGAGGAGGAGGACAGCAAAACCTAGAAATGTTGAGTTGAATTATTAACAATATTTTTTCTTTTATCTTAATCTTTCTAGATTTATTTTAGATGTTGCTTAAAAAAAAACATTTTTAAGCTTTGGAATCTGATGGAATGGTAAAATTATAGGCGTAGTATCAGATCATGGGGTTAATTCTTCACATCCATTTCACTAATATAAAAAATGTAACGTCTGCAGTCCTTAAGCTTTTTTTTTTTAAAATCATTTTTATATGTGGAGGAGCAAATCCTGACAGAGTTTATGGTCCTCTGTGTCCTGTACCTAGTTAAGCAATAGATTGCTTTAGTAACCCTAATTGGCATCCTAGCTTCCAGCCCAAAGATTTTCCTGGAGGTTTCCTTGCCTCTGTATACAAGACAGACCCCAAAGTCTCCACAGGCCACCCTCCTAACTCTTCCCTGGAGTGTTGCCATCTTCAGGCAGTCTTGTCTGCAAGCTGCTTATTGCCATCTTCTTCCCCGGTTACTGGCAGCTACTGTCAAAAAATGAAGTCGCCCCAGCAGAAGCTAACTTGGTGCGTAGCTCCTCCGAGTTCCCAGAGCGTTCGTGCAGATGGTCCCCCCTTCCTTGGTGGGGAAGGGAATAGCAAAGGTGGAGGACAAGGGGGGAGGTTCATGCTCCAAGAGAAATTTAAAGGTAGGAACTGTAATGGAGAGGAGATAGCAGTGAAGATGATGAGACGGGTGTAGCAGGAAATTGTTAGGATAGTAGGTAACATGTTTCTTTCCCCTCATTAGCTCCACTTTCACATTCATTTTGGGCTCCCCGACTCTGCTTCTGGGGACACCAAGGTCAGGGGACCACAGCGAGGTTGTGAGTAGAACCAGAAGTTGTTAAGAAGTGGGTTCAGGTATTAGTGGTGCATGAGAAGAGGAGGAGGGCTGGGACTGGGATATTTTTTTGAACTGATTATAATTAATAAACAGGTACTTAGCATAAATATATGGCAGTTCGGTGTGTAGCATGTTTGTTACTGAGATGGTACGGCCAGTCATGGAATTAGGATAGGGTTAGCCTAAGGGTGGCTGCCAGAATGCCATCAGTATTCACTGCGTCCATAGTGACCAAATGGTGCAGATGGCAACGTTTGAGAAACTTTATGAAGGAAGATGGTTCACCTGTGAAATGTAGGACGGTGATAGAGAAATCACTCAGTGAGTGATAAATGCCTGAACATTAAGACTTTCTTTCAAAACGTTAGCATGAGAAAAGCGGCTTTAATTTTCAGATACTTGGTCTGAAGGTGACCTTTCCTATCAGGCTTTTTGTGTTGGTTTGCTTCAAAATACAAGATTTATTAGTTTTGTGGGTGATGCTAATTTCCCTTTTTATCCTTCTCGTAGATCAACCTCTTGTTTAAAAAAAAAAAAAAAACCATTATCAAAGCGGATATTGGCTATGTAAATACTGGATATTTGTGGCATCTCTGTCAGGATATGCCCCATGCTCGAATCTCAAAGGCTAAGTTTACAGTTCCTGCAACTTATTACACAGTGTAGTGTCTTTCCAAACAGTTTGAAGAGTGTCATTTGTCTCTGTTATAAATCTCGCTCCAGTACATGAATTTTGGAAAAGCTGTTCTGAGAATTCAAGTGGAAACTATCACCAGTATAACTACTTGCTTTTTTTTTTTTTTTCCATTGTTTTCAGTCCACACTGGAGAGCCAGGAAGTTGTTACCAGCTGAGTGTGTAGTCGGATCTGTTAACCACGGCAGGCCTCCAGACAAAACTGTTTTTGTGTGTTTCCTCCACCCCTGCCAATAAAATCCATGCAGTTGAAGGAAACATGGACATAAAAACAGTGCTCTGAAATGCAACGCAGCTGTAAATATTACTCTGCAGAGATGAAAAGAAAGTTTATGTATTTTTTCTGGGTAATTATTATAATGATACATACAGGCTTTTAACAGTATAATAGCTCCAATCATCTTTAGATTTCCTGCCCAGTAGTGCACACAGATGCATTTTAATTTTTGAAATCATAAATAAATAATGTGCAACCCACAAGGCTTTCCAGTAGGCTTAGGGTCCAATTCTGTATTATGTAGGGTACATGCCTTCTCCTTTGATATAGGAGTGAGCTCCCTTACAAAGGGTTCAGTAATGAAATGTGTGGAACAGTCTCCCCAGGAGCTTAACTACCCTAAATAGTTAACCGATGTCATATTTGAACCTTATATTTATTCCCTTGATCTTTTTAGTTAAGGCATTTGAAGCAAGTCAGTTCTGCTTTATATATGACAGAAATAAACACCTTGCTGAAATTGTATTTGAGAGAGGAACAACACTGGTTTCAGGAGCTACCTAAGACAGCAAATTGCAATAGCAAAAGAAAAAAGCAACCACTGAGACAGATGTATTTGATATTTACTTTGTATTTACTCTGTAGCCTGAAGATTAAGCTTTTTGACTGAGATGGAAGGAGGTAGGTGGCAGAGCGCACTCTGGTGACTGAATTATAACTTGTGACATTATATTAATTCTCCAGCTTTTTGTTGCCGTTTTAGGACCTTTGCACAGAACTGTAGAAACATTGAACACCTAAATCTAAATGGGTGCACAAAAATTACTGACAGGTAAGTCAAAGATTTTTTTATTTGACAGTGAAATTTGGAAAAAGAAGTAGCTAAAGGTATTTTTAGTGTGTCTGCTGTTTTGCAGCACGTGTTACAGTCTTAGCAGATTCTGTTCCAAGCTGAAACATCTGGATCTGACATCTTGTGTAGCCATCACAAACAGCTCTTTGAAAGGTTTAAGGTAAGAAGATTCAATATTTTGTGTTAAAGAAAAAGCTTAAAGAACTGTTTAACATTCAGTGAAGTAAAAAAAAAAAAAATTAAGCTGTGTTGAGCTTTAATATTATGTATCAGCACTGACTGTATCCTGTATCTAGCACCTCGTGGGTGTAGAGTATGGTGTTTGTGTGTGGTCTTTTCTCATGGCTTTTCTGTAGAGGCCTGGCACAGTCCACTGGCTATCATTAATTTCTAACAGTGTGTTTAATTTGGGTTTCCCACTGTTATGACTATATGAAGGCTGGATTTAACTTTATGTATTTTTTTAATTCTCCCAGTGAGGGTTGCAGAAATCTGGAACATTTGAATCTTTCCTGGTGTGATCAGATTACGAAGGATGGTATTGAAGCACTGGTGAAAGGGTGTAGTGGACTAAAAGCTCTATTTCTTAGAGGTTGCACACAGGTACATAACTGCTTGGGTGATCCTTTAGGAATAAAATTTTTGCTTTGGCTTTTTGAAATCTCCATGACTTAGAAAATTTTGTTTTTGTTAGTGTTTTGTTCAGTATTGCAAGATGTGTATGTTCCTTGGGCTGCTTTGCTTTGCTTTTAATTTCTTGTTTCTTTTCCTGTGTCCAATTTAATTGCTCATATAGTTAGAAGATGAAGCACTGAAACACATTCAAAATCACTGTCATGAACTTGTAATCCTGAATTTGCAATCCTGCACAGTAAGTATTTGAAGCTTCAAAAGATGCATTCTCTAAGAATCATAAACAATTTTCAGGTATTAATGAACTGTACTGCTACACACTTCATTCAAATAGTATGTTTACAGAATTTTGTGTGTGGAATACAGGCCTTAAATGAACTGGCTGTTTCTACAGCTGTGGGTGGATTTGGAGTGTTTGTTTTTTCTCATTATATCTTTTAACTGTAACGAGCTCTAGAGTAAGAATTAAGTGCATTCATTCAACTCTCATGAACTGTGTACACGGTAAACCAAGCAGTTTTACAGATGTGGGTCTTACTCTCCCATCCATTAAGGACAGATGTTTAAGTCTGTTGGTAATTTTAAAGTTTTTAATTGAGCAGAAGCCATATTTTTGGCTACGCTATTGAGAGTGTAAAATGTGATGGCATCATAATTGAAGAGGGATTGTCAGAACTGACTAGGTAGCAGGAGAAGGGCATGCTTTTTTAATAATAATGGCAGAATACATTCGTTTGTAATAAAATGACTGGGAATCACTCATGCATATTTAATACTACTTACATAATACACAAAGATTAGATTTGCTGTATTTTGTTTGCTTTTTTTGTTTGTTTGTTTCTAATCTAACTTTCTAGAAATGGGAAAGATTTCCTTTTAGGCTTTAAATGTATTTAAGTTACATTTTGTCCATAAATAGTCCTTAGGACAGTTTGAAATAAATTAGATTTTCAGTTTTTTAATGATACACCTTTGAACAAGGAAGTTGTTAGATTTTTTACTTGTGGAAAGTTTTCTACAGTTTTATTGCCAGAAAATATCTTAAAATCTTCTTGGTCTAGAACTTTCAAAACTATTTTAAACATTATTCCTCAATGAACGTGACATGGGACCATTTTTATTAAGATTGGATATAGATTTTTGGACTTAGTAGATTAAAAGAAAATGTTTTGAACATTTTGGAGTGTTGCAGATATAATACAACTGACATTAGAAGTTTTGCAGAATGATCAAAGCGCTCGCACTGCTGTTTATACAGCAGATTTCCTTGTGCTTCATACGATCCACGCTTTAATTTTAGTGGTTCTGTTTTGTGGACCTTGTAAAATAGCAGGCCAGCTTCAGCTGCTGTGGCATGAACTGATACTACCTCTGGAAATTGTGAATGCGAGAGTTATCATCTTTAGAGTGTAGAAGCTGGGGTTCTGCAGGCATCTTTTTGACCACTTTTCTTTCCCGTGAAGGAGGTAGACATTGAAATCTAAAGCAATTTCAAAGTGAGACAATTTCATATGTAGCTCAGGGGTTTTGCCCAACTCCCGCAGCAGCAAAAAATATACATAGTCCCCACCTACAAAATAGTTCTTTCTTGCAATAATAATGTCATGAGCATCTCTCAAAGAAAACAGAAAGTTCCAAAAAATACCGTATTTCGAGAGAGAAAGCTAGAAAATACTTGATTGATGTTTGACTTATTTGTTTATTTAAAACAAAAAAGCAAACGCTATTTTGCCGTCTGTAAATGATGCAAGTCCTTCTGGATCCACAAACAGAAGACAAGGCTTCTAGTTTTCTGCCTAGAATCATTTTTATTTGACAGAACAATTTTCAAATTTAAACTATTCACATTAAAAACTGCTGTGTTTGGAGGGGTAAAATCTCCCTTTGTGCTGAACTACTGTTATTTCTCATCCTCTTTTCATCTTTGAAAAGTAATGTGTGGTAATGGAATAATGGCCTCAGGAATATGCTATAGTAATGTTAGCATACGTAGATGATTGCCTCATAAAAGGAGTGTGTACTTTCAGTTCAAAAGATGGTAAAGGTCTTTGTTACCATTGCAAGAATAATGTTAATCCAGGAAATAAAATAGACTTGGGTCGGCATGAAGGATTTGTCATTCAGCAGAAAAATTAAATCCTTGGAGTAGAGGGGGGAGGAGGAGAGAACACTTTCTCCAGAAGAGAGGACCTAATAAAACGGACATATAAACGAAATAATATTCCTCTCCCCCAATAAGCTAGGTCCCATTGCTATTTTGTGTGCAGCTGCAATGAGGTCATTTCTTACAGTATATGTTTTGGAGGGAAAAGAAAATTTACTCACCTTCCAAAATTAGAGTTGCTTTTATCAGAATATCAAGTACAGAACAATTTTGGGAAAGGGAAAACCCAGTCTTCTGAATTAAATCTTTCGGCTAGAGACAACTGTGGGGCAAACCTGGCTTTTAAATTTAAGCTTTGTAAAGGAAGGATGAGGTATAATCGCTTACTGTAACTCTTGCTTTGAAAATTATCATATGTGAAGTATTTTGACTCTTGAGTCTTACTGCTGCAGTGTAACATAGGTACACTTTTGCTGTAGAGCTCCCTAAGCCCTCTCTGGCTTGCTGTCCGTGAACTTCTTACGTTGTGTAGTCACTAGAATGAAAGACCTCAATCCTACAGATGTCTGAGAAGCAAGACATTTCACACAATCACAACTGCAATTTTAAAAAATAACTATTTGAAAATTGTAAAACAAAGTAAAACAGAAGAACAACAACAAACAACTCTCCCTCTGTGCTTCAGATTACCTTAGAATAGTGCTCTGATCTGTGGGAAAACGTTAAGTAGGATAAGTAGGAATTGTCTGTGTTGATTATCTTCAAAGTTTTATCAGACAACATGATTCCACAATGCCAATTTGTGTTTAAAGATTGACAGGTTGCCATGGCCATGATCAGTTCAGAAATAAGACTTGGCTTTTGTTCTCAGCAGATTACTTGATAACAGAGTAACTTTAACTTTTTATATGTTGCAGCAAATTTCAGATGAAGGCATTGTGAAAATCTGTAGAGGATGCCATAGACTTCAGTCCCTGTGTGTTTCTGGTTGTAGCAACCTTACAGATGCTTCTCTCACAGCACTTGGTCTAAACTGTCCAAGGCTGAAGTGAGTATGCCGTGAGTATGTCATGTTATTATTGTCCTGATCTAAGCAATTCACTTCTGAAGGATATCAGCTGATATCCACAGGTTTGATTTAGCTCCATGTTGTTTGCTTTACCTTTATAATAAAAACAAAACATTAAGTCAGAAGTGTGAACTGAATCTAAGCTCAAGGTCAGGTCCTCAGTGTAACTGCCATATGAATGCAGTCTGTTGCATATGGGAAAAAGAAGGATAATATATGACAAATAAAACACGTTGAAGGTAGTAGTTCAATTCTCTGCTTCTAACTAAATATTTTAGGTACTAATTGCAAGCCAGAAGAAAAGAAAACATAAGGTCTATTAATTTTTTTTAGAAGGTCAGAATATCTGTAGTTGTGTAGTAACTTGTGATGTTCTCTACCTGCTG